GCATGTGTTTGGCTGTTATGGCTGCCGAAATGGGGAGCTGGTCCCTTCATGCCCACAGGCAATACAGAATCTGTTCTCCAGTATCCAGGAGACAACCAGAACATTCCATTCATGACCTTAAATTTGGCAGCCATACATACCCCTCTTTGAAAAGAGGGGTCTATTTGTGATGACCCTAGCCAACAGGTTGTTTTTCAATGGCAGATCCTGAGAAGGAAGGTCCAGCGGATCCGAGATAAAGAAGATAGAACAGGGGAGCTTGGGAGGTCTTGCAGAAGCTGTGTCTCATGCCAATCAAGATTTATTAGAAATATAGCATCTCATAAACTATTTCCAGGGGAGAAATGGGACAGAGTCAGAAGAAAGCTATCATACAATGGGATGGAGCCAGCAGGAAGCTAACCAAGCACAAAGGGAACATAGAGCATCAAAAGTGCATGCCAGAATAAACACGTCCTGGCCTTGAGGCTGGTAACTCCCATTTTTAATGAAGGAAAAAATCTATGATTCCATGTCCAAAACGATAAATTCTTTGGCCAGAATGTTCAAGTTCTCCAGCCTGGCCTTGCCAAGTTTACCTCTGGGCAAGGACAAAGAATTATTTTCCTTTTGTCCTTTGATCAAGGCTTCTGAGAACATCTTAGACAGGTCTGTATCTCAACAGCCTGGGATGCTTCCTCATAAATCTTCTGCACCCCTTTCTTACTCCCTTCTCTGTGATGCATCTCTTTGGTTTTAAAACGGGCTGGGGCTGCAACTTCCCAACTTGTCCCCAAATGTCCCACAGAGGTGCTCTGGTCTGTATGACAATGCCTAACCAGGCGTTGGTGGTACATGCCTTTAATCCCAGCACTCGGGAGGCAGAGGCAGGTGGATCTCTGTGAGTTCAAGGCCAGCCTGGTCTAGCTACACAGAGAAACCCTGTCTCGAAAAACAAACAAACAAACAAAAATTCCATATATGAACAGAAAACTGTTTTTCAGACACTTCAGACTTGCTGTAATAGCTTGCGCATTCCAAATCCTGATACAGAACACAGACTCTTTGACTAAGCTCTACTGCAGTTACACCCGTGGCAGTCAGCATTGGATAAAGCAGCTCTCTCCTCTGCCAGAGAGTTCAGTAATCTAAATGAAAGAAATGTGTAAGACTGAGGTAATACTCAGGATAACATGACATGAGGGAATATGAAAAGGGTCCAGAAACTGAGGTAGAAAATTGGTCAAATTGTCATGAAATTGCATTCTATGACTCAACTGAATTTACTATTATCAGTAACTCTGCAACATTTTTAATTTGTCATTATCCCTATATGGTGGAAATCATGTGATTATCCTTATAAAAGGACTTTTGGTTAGGAACTATTAAATTATAAAAGTTAAAATCAGGAAACCATCTTAGAGTCATCAAATCTGCTTCATTATTATCTTCACGTCAGAGTCAGGGGAAAGTGAAGGCATCCTGTGGATAGCAAAGCAGGTACATCCAATGTTCATGTAGCCTCTTCAGACTAATGACTGTTCCACTCAATCTAATATAATACAGAAGAGCCATGACAAGACATAGAGCTCATCTTTCAGGACACAGTATCTGTGCAGTTTCTTATATCTTAGGGATAAGAGAGAGAGATTTCTAAAGTCACCCAAATAACTTTTACCTTTAGTTACAATAAACAAACAAAAAACACTTTCCGAGGAAGGAAGGAAGGAAGGAAGGAAGGAAGGAAGGAAGGAAGGGACAGAAGGAAGGAAGGCAGGAAGGAAGGAAGGAAGGAAGGGAGGGAGGAAGGGAGGAAGGAAGGAAGACCACTGTTTACTAAATAGTACTCTATACCAGAAATTCAGTTTTGGAATTTATAAAAATTGTTTCATAAATTCTAAAAGTTTGTGAAGTAGATATTGTCCAGCCATTTCACAGATGAGGAAATTTATGGTTTATTAGGGTTAAACAGATTTCCCCAATATTATACTGTACTGCACTATGTTATATTGCAATAATTTGAGATGTGAGTGCTCTTATTCTTAGACTTTAGTAAAAGCCATTAAAATGGTGACTTATGAAGCTTTCTCTATTTTACACAAAATGGATTTTCAAAGGGGGGAGAGATTGAGAAAAGACAGAAATATGAAATAAAACACATATGTAAAACACGAAACATGGTTTATTAGGATAATTTATTGGGCTTTGTCACTCTATGTCAACACTAGTGTTCAGGAGAAATTCTAGGCAGCTATAAGTACTGGTTTCCTCATATTTGGGATCTTATCTGGTATCTGTTACTGCCTCCTTTTCCAGAAAATAGCATTCCTACACAGTGGGAATTGACGACCCATGGTCGCATTCCACAAGTCCGATGAACTGTGTGTTTCATTCCATGACAGTTTTGTGTTACCTCTGACTATACAGATTGCTTCCAGAACCGCTGCATATAAGTTCAAGTCTCTTCTACTAAATTTGTTATTTGTACAGGACCTATGTGTATATTACTATATGTTTTAGATAATTTCTAGATTAACTACAGCATCATAGATGGTCTCAGTACCATGCAGATAGCTGTGGGATTAAATTAGATTAAATTAGAGATGGAAGAGCCAGCTTAACTCCACATTAACTTTATAAACAAAATTATTGTTTTCCCTATGAAATTCCCTGTTTTAATTGTCTAGAAGAAAATGAAATTGACAAATATATGATACTTGATGACCACATTTCAAAAATCAATACATTTCACTATTTAATACATATCAGACATCCACTGTTGACATAGTTACCAAGGGAAGCAGAGATACCTAACATGGCATTTGTGCAGAGCAGTGTGGTAGACATAGTGTATGTCACATTAAGTAGGAGGCATTGTTGTGACCCAGAATGTCTCACCCATAATCCATGAGGTTCGGTCTGAGTGGGGTTGTGGACCTGGAAGCTCCCAGCAACCCAGTGGCGATAAAGACCAAACACAGGCATCCTGTCATCTTTAGAGAGCTCTCAGTTCCATGTTGTACAACTAGAGTCATTTCTTTATTAGCCATCTTTTCTGGTGTTTCTTAACCATCCTGTCATGACCACGAGGAAACCATTTCTTTCCTTCTCCTCTCTGCTCTCGTCCCTCGCCCCAACTCCTGTCCTCCCTAGTCACTCACACACCTCTGCACCAGGTGCAGGCCTATCCAGATGCTTAGGCCCACAGAGATGCAAATAGGAGGCATATTACCCTGAGGCCATGGTAAACAATAGTAGCCTTACTGGCATTAACAATACAATAGTGGGTGGTGCTCCTGTTTAGTGAAACCCAAGGCTGGATCTCAAAATATTCCATAGTGGAAATATTTGGTCCCCCACAAGGCATGGAAATCCTGTGTTCACAGATAAGCACTAGGGGAACCAGGAATGTTAAACACACAGTGTTGTTGTTCCATCAAAGGAAGGGATGCATTATCTGGAGGAGTGGACATGGCTATACCCTGGAGACTTGTGTACTAACTGGGTGGCTGAGACCACACCGAATCCTCTCCTATGGTGAGCTTGTCAATCTATAGAACCTATGTTTGTGGAAGATGTCAAATGTACTTTACAAAGAGTTTTGCTGTGGTCACATCAAAAGCTTCATTTTGTATACAGGATTGGAGTTAGTTATCACCAGGCAAGTTTTCACCAAATTGTTCTGTGCTTAAGTATGCCAAAAATAAACTACTTGGAGTCAGACTCCAGAAGTTTGAACCAACACCGGGTACTGAGCCATGTTGAACTGAATTGTCTTCTTGCCTACAGTAGATTATTACACTACTGGCTATAGTGGTCACAGAGAATCCTGAAATGTTATAGCAGAGTACCTCTTATCTGCTACAGATATAATCTATGCCGTGTTACACCACAGTATCCCTTATCTGCTACAGACACAGTGCCTCCATATCTGCTATACCTACAGCACAGTAACCCCCATATCTGCTATAGATACCATGTATATCATGTTGAAGGGACCAGCTTCCCTTTCGGCAGCCATAACGGTCGAACATGTGCTTCTATGACCTTGTCCTAGAAACTAGAAAGTCAGATGCCTGTCTCGTGACAAGGAACCAATCAGAAGTTAGCTGGTGGCGCTATGCTTTACGACCCTGGGTGTGTTTTACGGACTATCGAACAGCAATGACGTAGAGAGCATAGCAACCACCCTGGGAGAGCCTATGGGCCATAACAACCAGTTGACCAATCAACACAGGGCAAGCCCTCCAAGCCTGGAGGCACACCAATCGTGAGCCTATGCGTACCCCTAGACACTCCCCTTACGCTGCCCTATAAGATCTTTCGGGAGCCCCTAGGAGCCGTCTTTTCTAGCTGTCCGCCATGGTGGGTGGGTGAAAGACCCGAGCTAACATGGAGTTAGCTCATTAAATTACAATAAAGCCTCATGCAGTTTGCATGCAGCAAGCTCTCGAATCCACCTGGTGATTGGGGTGACCTCGAACGTGGCCTGGGACCCTGGATACTTGAGTTTTCGGGGGTCTAACAATGTCATGTTACAGAACAGTACCCACTATTTGCCATTTCAGTGTCTGTAGCTTCTGTTATGTCAACAGCGGTCCTAAACCATTAACTATAAAATTATAGGAATTATTAGCTTGGTGTTTTAAGCAGGACACTACCCTGATCAGCAACAATGAGGTCTCACAGCATGTACGTCAAGAGGCGAATCACCAGTGCTTGTGTCCCAGCAACACCCACTCACTCAGTAATGGCCTCAAATTGAAAAAGTATTGATAACAACAGTGCAGCCATGCCAAAGAGCAGCCATACTGCATTCCTTTAAATGAAAGGTGATAGATAGTATGAGGTTCTCCACCTACTGGAAAACATTGTTCTTACCGTCACACATCAAATTGTGTGACTTATAGCCACCAGATGTAGTATGGGCTTGGTTAAGAAGGAAAACTCTGTGTGTGTGTGTGTGTGTGTGTGCGTGTGTGTGTGTGTGTGTGTGTGTGTGTAACAGTGTGTACAGAGTGTAGCACTATCTCCAGTTTCAATCAGTCCACTAGGTGTCTTGGAAATAGTCTTTAGAGATGAGGGAGGTATTATGTGGTGACAAAATCACCTCTGACTTTTACCTCAGATGTACTCAAGTGGATTTAACAAGTGTATTCTTTGCACTTCTTAGATGCCTGTCGGTTCCCATACTGGCATCAGTTGGCTCTGAAACTCCGCTGTGCTTGGCTGATTCTTCCTGTCTTGAGCCTGACTGGACTCAGTGTCTTAGGTAAGTGAGGTAAGAGCTTCAGCTTCATAATTTCCCACATAAACATTAGTCTTTTTCATACCTGGAGCCTAGGAGAAGGTCAATGATACTGAACGTTTCAGGACAACAACTCTGGTCCACTACAGAAACATCACGATTCTTCCATGCTCTCAATTTTTCTGAGAGCCATTATGGGGGATGGCATATGTGCATCTAGAACTGCGGAAAAATGAAAGTTACAACTGTGACAAAAATATGACAGAAATGAAGAAGACTGGAAGGCCCCATATTTAGACTGCTAACCCTTCCCTTGAGATGGGTGTGACTGAAGATGAGCAAGCTCAGGTGTGACTGTGAGCAAGCTGAGGGTTTCAGCAACATCCACAGACTGACTTCTCAATCAGATCATATGCAACCTCGGAGCTGTGTGAATCCATGTGTTCTGGGCTTTTCTGGTTCATATTTCCTGTCTCCACACTTGTCCCTTAATCCACTTGGCTGTTATTTTATCCTCAGTTACTTTGTCTGAAGTTAATTAATAGAAACGAAGCATAATATGACTCCTTTGTTATTAATTATGATTCCTTGACATATGACAGCATTAACCTTGTTCCAACATGCACTGATGAAGCAACCACTTTGGGAAATTTTTATGGTGTAGCAGGAACAAGGTAGAATAGAGCATAACACTTTCCCATAGCTTTGTTGTCATCTTTAGATTTAACTAGTTATCTATGCTGAGGGAGTGGAGACTTGGATTTTTGGCAGCTCTTATTAGAGACTAATATGACTAATCAATTAATAACTGAATATAGTGGGATGAATCAATTACAAATATATAGAAAGCAATTTCATGAAGTACAGAGAATTATGCTGATGGAGAGCTAGGAAGGAGTTCGAACAGGAATAATAGTGTTTTAGAAGGTTAATAAAGGAAAACAAGTCACGAATATACAGATTTTACATGAAGCCTATCACTACAATCTTTGATTGGTGATTCATGCAGGACCTCTTAAAGGGAAAAGAACAGTTATTTTCTATTGAACTAAATTATGTACCAGCAGAGAAGATCTGGAAGTGGACAAATGGCTTGATTTTAAGTCCTGATCTGTCAGTTTTAAATGAACTAATTTGAACATGTAACTCACATCCATTTTCCTGAAAATTAAATTTTAAATTAGTTTACAAATTCTTAAGAGGGTCAGAGTAGGCTGAAAGACAATTCCAAAATTGGCTGAAACTTTTCATGTACAAGTAGATATCAGCAATTTATAGTAATGCATGCGCATACGCGTGCATACAGATTGAAGAAAGAAGCTAAAGGATGAAAAAATAAAATGTAGGGACATTTACAGAAGCCCAGCTGAGGGAAGTCCATAGTTTGATTAGCATGCTGGGTACTAGGGTGACATCAAATTTGCTGCTAAGGCCAAGGGACTCTGTGAAGAAATGAGCAAAGGAAAAGTGACAGCTGTGAGGGAGCCCTGCCTACTGCCTGATGTGTGACATCCTCTGCTGGACACAGGCTAGTCTTGAGAACTCATCCCTTCCTTGTTATCACCCAGAAGCTCCCGGTGTTGGTGCTTGACTTCTGGTCTCATTGCCACCTGCAGTGATCCCAGGAACCCTGGGTGTGCGGTGACGATTAGTGACTAGTGTTGTGATAAACCCAAGACCCACCAGCTATGGGATGAGACAGGAAGAAACTGGATTCTGTTCCATGTGAGTTGAGGCTCTTTTTCTCTCTCTGCATCCAATTCTGTAGACCCACTGTGTTCACTGTGTGTGTTGAATACTTTTTTGTTCACTTTTTTTTTTTTTTTTTTTTTGAGACAGAGTTTCTCTGTGTAGCTTTGGAGCCTGTCCTGGCACTTGCTCTGTTGACCGGGCTGGCCTCGAACTCACAGAGATCCACCTGGCTCTGCCTCCTGAGTGCTTTGGGATTAAAGGCGAGAGCCACCACCGCCCAGCTGTATGCTGAATACTTTGAGTACCCACTGTGTGTAACTGTTGTCATACATTCATGTATGTCTCAATAGCTTTCCTAAATATTAGCAGGTTATACCCCATCTATTTCAGGAAGCTGAAACTCAGCAAAATGAAGATGCTTTCCACATGGTCACATGACATGTTAGTAGTAGCATAAGGAGTTTTCACCCCCAGTTCCAAAATCTTCTCCCTTTTATACGTCATTATGAAGATTCTTACTGGAAGTATTCTCCAGTGAGGGCGAAACTGGAAATCACAGCTTCTACCAGCTGTATCTTTACTGTTTATACATGTTTATAATGTTTGTTACTGTGCTTAGACACTGTGTAATCTACAGCACCTTTACAAGTCCACAGAAAAATAAGTGGCTGGTGTGATAACTGCAAGAAAATCCTAAACTCTAGGAACAGCTATTAATTTCTCTTTAGATTGTGAATCACTGGCAGGAACATGAAAACAACTTCATCTCACAGAAAGAAGTGTTTTCTGAGACCTGTTCTGCAGACAACCACTGGATCTGCCAAAAGATTCTGAAACATGACTGAAATCCTGTGTCCTGACTCCTGATTGGGAATCTCATCTCTATTACTTTACCTTCCACACCAGATATCTGCATTGAACTGTCAAGTCTGTCGGCCCTCCCAGTGCACAGTTGGTGGCACAAAACATGGACTATAAAACCTCTGTGACTTACAGATGCTCACTTCCAATGTCTTTATTCTATAAATGTACACAGACACAGATGTGCCTTTTTTTTTCACTTTCTTATTAATTTATTTTTTTACATTCCAATCCCAGTCCCCACTCCCTCCTCTCCTTCCGCTCCCCTCACCCCCCCCCCCATCTGCTCCACAGAGAGGGCAAGGCTTCCGATAGGAAGTCTACTAAGTCTGTCCCATCATCCAGTTGAGGCAGGACCAAGGTGCCTCTCCACCCCCACACCCCTGTGTCTAGGCTAAGCAAGCTATCCATGTAGAATGGGCTCCACTAAGTCAGTTTGTACATTAGTGTTACATCTAGGACCCACTGCTAGTGGCCTCATCTATTGTCCCAGTCACACCATTGTCACCAATATTAAGGGAGTCTAGTTCCCCATTTGTCAGACCTGAGTCAGTGATCTCTCACTAGTTAGAGTCAGCTGATTCTCTGGGTTTCCCCAGAGGTCTTGACTTCTTTAACAAGTGGGATTACTGCGGATGTGGACCCACAGGTGGCCACAGGATCTGAGTCAGTGTTTATTGACATGCCTAAATATGACTTGAATCCAGGACAAATGTTTATGGTTAGCCAGGTGTTCAAACACTGCCTTCTGCCAATTACCAAACAAAACAAGAGATGAAAATCTTGAGGAGGTTATATAGCAAAAGAAAACTGTGCACCATGATGGGAATGAAAGCTAACATGGCTGCCATGAAGAACAGCAAGGGATCAATCACTCTCCTCAAAAATTAACAACACATCCAATGCACCATCAAGGAATCTCCCTCTCTCCATATATCCCTATAAAGACAAAAAATCTGAGATGTTCTAATATTTAATTTTGAAAGTTGGAGGATGCAGTAGGATCACAATTTTCCATGTTTTTACTCTAAGTTAGTGCTGATCTTTGATGGTGAGCTGTGTTTCTTGAGGCAATGAATGGGCAGGCCCTGTCTTTTAATCCAGTCTGCCAGTCCGTTTTCTTTACTGAATGATGGGGACCATAATATGGAAGTTACTATTGAAAGGTGTGTATTATTTCCTGTCGCTATATATTGCTTGTTTCCTCCCCATTGTCTGTCTTTCTCTCATGCTAAAGGAGTCCTTTACACATCTTCTGTGGAGCTCTCTTGGTGGCCATGAATTTTTTTTGTTTTTTCAATTCAGGGTTTCTCTGTGCAACAAGTCCTACCTGTCATGGAACTCACTCTATAGACCAGGCTGGCCTCGAACTTGCATAGCTCTGCCTGCCTCTGCCTCCCTGAGTCCTGGGATTAAAGGCTTGCTCCAATACTACCTGGCTGGCCATGAATTTCTTTAGCCTACTTTCATTCTTTTTTTAATATGCATCAGCAACAATCTCAGGATTAATGCATTAAAAGTAATATATGCTTATTACTGCCATATTGCAATTAGTTATTTGGGTCATAAAGGATGATTTAAATACATTGATGAAATGTTGTTTTTTTAACAGTGGTCAAGAATTGCATTCACATACACAATGTAAACACCTCTACAACATCTTTCTTTTCATATTTCTTCATCAATGTATCCTAACAGCAGGGGAGCATGGCTTCCTGTGCTGTACTCAGCTAATGCAAATAAATGAGGGTGTGAGGTGGAATTTGAAGTCTTTTGCTGGATAATAGTCTTTGGAGACAGCCTAGAGGAATGTGACTAGTTGTTCATCTTCACTTTTCTTCTGATATCCTTCTTTTCTCTTTTGTCCACTGGAGATTTTAAATACTTGTTTAGAAATGCAACTTTAGAGGATGGAGCAATTGCTGTTGATGAGAACTTAGGTTCTGTTCCCAGAACCCATGATGGCAACTCAAACCCTCTGTAACTCTGCAGGATTTGACACCCTCTTCTATACTCCTGGGGAACCCTCAGGCACTTGGAATACATATAAATAAAAATAAACCTTTAGAGAAAAAACGCCTAATTCTGTTCTCTAAGATGGGGCCTATGGTTATTTCTGACTGCAGGAAATTCTGTTTTCAATGAAGTCACACTGCAGGTCCAGTCTTGGCCACGAGCTTTGTAGTGCATATATTCTGAATCTAATTCTATGTCTATTTTTTTTATCACACAAAGTGAAATGTGACTCTTGAGGGCCATTTGTTACATGCATGTAAACACTTTCCTATTACTTACCACTTGTTTAGCAAATAATCAAGCTGCTTGGTTGGATTATAATGCTTTTATAAATTGGAATCCATTGTGGTTACTGCTGTACACAGAAGAAATAACCCTGGTCTATAACAACAACACAATATGAACATCTAAAAAATGTTAAAAACGCTAATCATTTTAACCAGAGCAAGCAAATCAGTAGCAAGTGATGCATGCTCATTTTAGATTTACCTCATGAAGTTTTTTAACATTAAATTAGAACTACAATGGGATAAATGACTATAAATATTATTGTCATTTGTGCCTTATTCAGCATGACAATCATCTTCACATCCTGAAGCTTCATATATTGCTGCAGCTTTGGCATGTGATTAAATATTTCCACAGGTCGAGTC